ATATCTCTATTTGTTCTCTTTTGTGGGTAATAATGTTGGATATAAGAGATTCGTGGAATAAAAGATTTATTTACTTTGCTATGATATAAATTTTATTTTCTATTATATATATATATTTATGTTTAGAATTATTTATGTAACAATATTCTTTATGTTTACTTTAATATAGGACTACTGAAGGTTATTATCAATCTTAGAGAGCACTTTAAGGTAAATAAACATGTGTTTTTATCTTTTTGGTAGCTAAAAATTTTTATATTTTGTTAATATGTAAGTTTTTAGGCAAAAAGTTTAAGATGGTCCAGGCATGTCACTTATATTTTATTTTTTTTATTAGTAGTATTCTTTAATACGTAGATTATAAGATATCCGTAGAATAAGAGGTTTGTCTTCTTTCTTTTATTATATTTTTCAGTTTAGTTTTACTTTTTTTAAGCCTAATTTATTTTTAAAATTTTTTTTGATGGAATTGGAGAAAATTACAACGCTATCTATTTCTGCATCATCTATCACATTAAGTTTTATAAATGTCTCATTTGGAGCTACAAGGAGATCTACTCCATGATCACTTTAGTGAAAAAGATCTGTGGTTCGATTTGATGATAGATACTGGTGATGGCGGGAACTCATCTTCTTCAATTGCAGGAGTACTTGGTCAGCAGTTTTTTTTGTTTCTTCAGTGATTCTAATAAGGTTGCATTTTCTGATTTGGTAATAAGGATTGGTGCTGGTCTATTATATTATAGTTTGGTACTATGAGCTGTTGTGCTTTATGAGATATCATTTTCTTCTTGTCTTTTACATTATATCAAGGGTTTTGGTATGTTTGTCTTGTTTCTCGCGTCGCTAAGAAAAGGAAGGATGTTCTGACCATTCTTTAAAATTGTGCTGTAAGTGATGAAAATTCAATTTTTATTTTAATGATTTTGCATAATTACTTATTGTAGCAAACCTGCGAATACAAGCTCTCTACTTACGCTAGCAGGTACTCAGTATAGCCTACGGCGTGCTTTACGGTCTGTGAGGAACAAAAAAGAGAGAGTGTGTACGAAGAAGAGAATCAGAACCGCAGAGGAAAAGAGTTCGTATCAAATTTTACCTCATGATTTTATTATCTGATTCGTCAACTATTTCTATTGTTTTTACTAACTAATCAAGCAATAATTTTTAATTTATGCTACCATAATTTAGTCAGAATGATAGATTTGAAACCTAAAAATCTACGTCACGCTAGATCGATATGAACAAAGTAAAGCAAATGAATTATGAGTAGAAACTAAAATTCGAATAAAAATACAAACAAATTCAAATACAATTACAAATCCAAGTATACTGAAAGAAAAATTCAATTGATTTTTTTTTTGGCAATCCCAAACAAATGAAACAAACAACTAACTCGATTGAAATTACAACAAATTAAAACAACAAGTAGACGTTGAAATTCTAATACAATTACAAACAAACTCAAATACAAAGACATACTCAAGTAAACCAAAATAAAAATCGCATTTAGCTCTTCAACTTTTCCAGCAAACAAACATCTCAAACACAATAACGAGAAACTACAACAAACAAATTACATCTACCCTTACAAATAAACTCAAATACAATTATAAAATCAAATGAACCAAAATAAAAATTACATTTGACTCTTCAACTTTCCCTGCAAACAAACATCTCAAATACAATAACGACACATTACCACAAACGAATTATAACTACCCTTACAAACAAACTCAAATACAAGTACAAATTTAAGTAAATCAAAACAAAAATTACATTTAGCTCTTCAACTTTTCCAGCAAACAAACATCTCAAACACAAAAACGACAGACTACAACAAACAAATTACGACCACCCTTACAAACTCATAAGGGAAAAGAGTAAACCCCAAGTATCTGCCCATAAGCAAATATGTCGGTTCTAACATTTGCATGAGTTGAAATGACCATAAATTAAAAAAGTTAAGCATTATTTCTTTATGTGTACATTAACATGGCAATGCTTGAGGCTGTTTTCAATATTGTGCAGATGATAACAAAATTGTTCTCTTTTTATGTATGTTCTTCTTGATTTTGTCGTTTTTTTTTTTCTAATTTGAAGTTTTGATATCTGTTGTTCCATGCCAAGCTGCGCATATGTTATATTTAATTGCTACTGGTTCTCTTCTGATTTGAATTACAAGGTAAAAGAGTCTTGACTGTATATAAATTGATATGCTCACTTTTGTTTATTTGTTGTAGATTTAAAACATCGAAAATAAGGTAAATAAATACGTATTCAATATTATCTTTTGTCTTTAACTAGTTAGAATTTTCTTTCTTTGTTATTATAAAGATCTTTAGTCAAAAAGTTAAAGCGAGTCCAATTATATATTATCTCTATTTTGTTCTCTTTTGTGGGTAACACTGTTGGAGAAAGGTTGGGTTCTGAGATAATCGCGGAACAAAAGGCTTATTTTCATTTGATTGTGACATGTTTTATTTTCTATTATATTTATATTTTTTTCTATTTAGGATTATTTACTTAGTAATATTCTTTTTGTTTACTTTAATATAGGACTACTGAAAGTTATTACCAATCTTAAGAAGTACTTTTAAGATAAGTAAATAAGCATGTGTTTTTATCTTTTTAGGTAGCTAAATTTTTTTACATTTTATTAGCGTGTAACTCTTTGGGCAAAAAGTTTAAGATGGTCCAGGCGTGTCACTTGTGTTTTGTTTTCTTTTTTTGATACAACTCTTTTAAACGTGGATTATGAGGTATCCGAAGAATAAGAGGTTTGTCTTCCTTCTTTTATCATATTTTTTTTATTTTATTTTGTTTTTTTATTAGCTTAATTAATTTTTTTTTTTGATGGAGTTGGAGAGCGCATCATCTATCACATTAAATTTTAAAAAGTTTCCGGACGAAGCTCAAAAAGGAGATCTACTACATGGTCATTTTAGTGGAAAAGAAGGTTTGTGGTTCGATTTGATAGTAAATACTAGTGATAGCGGGAACCCGTCTTCATCGGTTGCAGTGGCATTTGGTCGGCAATCTCTTTTGATTCTTCAGTGTTTCTAATGAAGTTGCATTTACTGAAATGGTACTCAGGATATTGGAGCTGGTCTATACAGTGGTTAGGTACTAAGAGCTGCTGTGTTTTATGAGGTATCTCTTTCTTCTTGTCTTTCACATTATATTTCTTGAGCTTTGGTATGCTTGTCTTGTTTCTCGCGTCGCTGGCAAGAGGACGGAGGTCTTGATCATTCTTCAAAATTGTGCTGTAAGTGATGAAAATTCAAATTTCTATTTTAATGATTTTGCATATTTACTGGTTGTAGCAAACCTGAGAATACTTGCTCTCTTGCTTACGCTAGCAGGTACTCTGTATAGCTTGTTGCGTGTTTTACGGTCTGTGAGCGATAAAAAGAGGGGAAGTACATACGAGAAGAGACTAGAGCGCAGAGAAGAGAGTTCGTATGAAATTTTACCTCATTATTTATTATCTGATTCGTCAACTATTTCTATTATTTTACTAACTAATCAAGCAATAATTTTTAATTTATGCTATCATAACTTAGTCGAATGATCGATTTGAAACCTAAAAATCTACGTCATGCTAGATCGATATGAACAAAGCAAAGTAAACAAATTATGATTAGAAATTGAAATTCGAATAAAAATGCAAACAAACTCAAATACAATTATAAATCCAAGTATACTGAAGGAAAAATTCAATTGAATTTTTTTTTTTGGCAATCCCAAATAAATGAAACAAACAACTAACTCGAATGAAATTATAACAAATTAAAACAACAAGTAGACGTTGAAATTCTAATATAATTACAAACTCAAGTAAACCAAAACAAAAATAACACTTAGCTCTTCAACTTTCCCAGCAAACAAACTTCTCAAACACAATAATGAGAAATTACAACAAACAGATTACAACTACCCTTAAAAACAAACTTAAATACAAGTAAACTAAAACAAAAATTACATTTAACTCTTCAACTTTCCCAGCAAACAAACATCTAAAATACAAAAACGATTGACTACAACAAACAAATTACGACTGCCCTTACAAACTGATAAGGAAAAAGAGTAAACTCCAAGTATCTGCCCATAAGCAAATATGTCGGTTCTAACATTTGCATGAGTTGAAATGACCATAAATTGAAAAAGTTTATCATTATTTCTCTATGTGTACATTAACATGGCAATGCTTGAGGCTGTTTTCAATATTGTGCAGAGGACAACAAAATTGTTCTTTTTTTATGTATGTTCTTCTTTATTTTGTCGCTTTTTTTTTCTAATTTAAAGTTTTGATATCCATTGTTCCATGCCAAGCGGTGCATATGTTACATTTAATTGCTATTGGTTCTCTTATGATTTGAATTACAAGGTAAAAGAGTCTTGACCGTACATAAATTGATATACTCACTTTTGTTAATTTGTTGTAGATTTCAAACGTCAAAAATCACGTAAATAAATACGTATTCAATATTATTTTTCGTCTTTAACTAGTTAAGATTTTCTTTCTTTGTCATTATGAAGATCTTTAGGCAAAAAGTTAAAGAGAGTCCAATTATATATTATTTCTGTTTTGTTCTCTTTTGTGGGTAACACTGCTGGAGAAATGTTGGGTTCTGAGATAATCGCGCAATAAAAGGTTTATTTTCGTTTGTTTGTGACATATATTTTATTTTTTATTATATTTATATTTTTTTCTATTTAAGGTTATTTACTTAACAATATTCTTTTTGTTTACTTTAATAGACGACTACTGAAGGTTATTATCAATCTTATGGAACACTTTTAAGGTAAATAAGCGTGTATTTTATGTTTTTAGGTAGCTAAAATTTTCATACTTTGTTAGTGTGTAACTCTTTAGGCAAAAAGTTTAAAATGGCCCAGGCGTGTCACTTGTGTTTTGTTTTCTTTTGTTGATAACACTCTTTTAAACGTGGATTATGAGGCATCCGGTGAATAAAAGGTTTGTCTTCCTTCTTTTATCATATTTTTCTGTTTTATTTTATTTTTTTATTAGCTTAATTTTTTTTAAAAAAATTTTGATGGAGTTGAAGAGAGTTACAATGCTAACTATTTGCACATCATCTATCACATTAAATTTTAAAAAGTTTCCAGACGAAGCTCAACAAGGAGATCTACTGCATGACCATTTTAGTAGAAAAGAAGATCTGTGGTTCGATTTGATAGCAAATACTGGTGATGGCGGGAACTCGTCTTCATCTGTTGCAGTAGCATAATGTCAGCAGTCTCTTTTGATTCTTCAGTGTTTCCAATGAGATTGCATTTACTGAAATGGTACTCAGGATATTGGAGCTGGTCTATACAGTGGTTAGATACTAAGAGCTGCTGTGTTTTGTGAGGTATCTCTTTCTTCTTGTCTTTCACATTATATTTCTTGAGTTTTGGTATGCTTGTTTTATTTCTCGCGTCACTGGCAAGAGGACGGAGGTCCTGACCATTCTTCAAAATTGTGCTGTAAGTGATGAAAATTCAAATTTCTATTTTAATGATTTTGCATATTTACTGGTTGTAGCAAATCTGCGAATACCTGCTCTCTTGCTTACGCTGGCAGGTACTCTGTACAGCTTGTTGCATGTTTTACGGTCTATGAGCGACAAAAAGAGGGAGAGTAGGTACGAAGAAGAGAACCAGAGCGGTAGAGGAAGAGAGTGCGTATGAAATTTTACCTCATTATTTATTATCTGATTCGTCAACTATTTCTATTGTTTTACTAACTAATCAAGCAATAATTTTTAATTTATGCTACCATAACTTAGTCGAATGATAGATTTGAAACCTAAAAACCTACGTCACGCTAGATCGATATGAAAAAAACAAAACAAACAAATTATGATTAGAAACTGAAATTCGAATAAAAATGCAAAC